TGGGCCCAGCGTGGGCACTCTAGTGGTCCAGAAAGCTACAGGGCACATCCCTAAGCCTCACTGCCGGACTCCATGAAGACAAACCATGTAATTTAGGTAAATGATTTCCTGCAATAGAGGTGACCTTAAGTAGAATAAAGCCAAATTATGCCTGACAATGAATTTAAAACAGGGATTTTGCCTTTTAGTATTTTTGATGGGGGAGGGCAGAGAAGAAAGAGAGAATAAGAGAGGGGAAGACAAGGAAAAGGGAAAGAAAAGAAAAGAGAGGAGACAAGAAATTTAGAGAGACACAATTATAGTATTTGTATGTATGTAGCACATGAATATAAAAATACTGATTGCAAATACATTTTTCCCTTTCCACAATGCTCTAGTGTAACTACCTGCGAGTGTAGATGGTATTATATGTGATGAGGATATTCCTTCTACATTGCACATATAATCTTGCTATTAGAATTAAAGAGCTTTCATTCATTCATGGAAGGAAGTAGTTATTAGGTAAGTGAAGCTGAAAGTGGACCCAGGAAAGAGTTGGTGCCTATATACAACAATGGAGGTGGAAGGTAGGTGGATGGGTAGAAGAGATGGAGAAGCCTTCTGTACACAGGGAATGTGACTGTATCATTTAATTGTGAAGAGAATTTTTAACACTTTCCCTGGAGATTAATCTTGAGGACCAGAACCACAGTTCTCTTTAGTTTAACATGTCAGGTCCATGTGTAGGGTATGACATCTTGTCTCATTAATGAGAATGGCTAGAGAGCAGAGAACAAGTAATGTTACATGTTACTCCTGAGAACTCTAAATGCCAATTATAGTTTCCTATACCATGTCCATAGGCTCTATACCTATAGAATCTGCAAATCCATTCTGTGTGCTTTTTTAATTTCTCACATGTATATATATATATATATATATATATATATATATATATATATATATGTATACCCAGACATATGCATGTTCAAATATGTGTGTGTGGAAGCCACATGTTGAAATCAGGTGTTTAATTAAGAAATACATTAGGACAAGTGTCTTTCACCAAGACTATAACTAGATGGAGCCTATACTTTCTTATTCCCAACTTACCAAGATCTGACAATATGAAACAAAGAGTGATGACTTCCTATATATTTCTTGTCTTAAAAGAATATAATACATAGAAAACTTTAAAGTTTTTTCCACAGGCTAGGATGTAGCTCAGTTATAGAACACTAGCCCATCAGGTAGAAAGTTCCATCCCTAGCAACACACACAAACACAAAAACATACTATACACATATAACTATACACATCATACTCTTTACACAACACACCCCATAGAATGAAGTCTTTGAAAAATACCACAGGAACACATCTTTATCTAAAAGAATAGTGTCATTTCCATGTTTTTCTAATAAACTAAACATTTCTAGAAAGACAACTGAAATTTTCTTCTGTCAGGTTTTGGAAAGGTGGTACCACTCAAGGGAAAGGGAATCTCTTGTGGTAAGAGTGTACTTCTGGATGGCTCCTGCCAATGAGCTTATCCAATATTTTCTGGCTAGAATTATGTTCCAGAAAATTTTACCAACATGGACCAATGTCAGAGCTTATTAATTAAAGTGTTGTCAAATTTTTGATGTAAGGACATGGCACCACTTTGTAGAGTATTATTAGGTATCTATACTTGTTTTGTTTAAAGGGTTCCTAGGTCAAGAAAGCCTGGGTCCCTACCTCAACCTAAACCACAAAGCAGTCAGATGTCATGTGTTTGAGGCAGTCATCCTAAAAAAAATTCTTAACTTTGCATATTATCGCTTTCTTTTCAGTATTATATGGCTTTAAGTAAAGCATATAAAATTGTGATTAATGGCAATTAGAATTGTGACCATGACATTTCTTCTGAGTCTATGTTGAAGTAAATTTATTCAAAAGCTCCTTCTTTGACAATATTCCACCATCTTTGCTACAACATTGACCATGGGAATTGGCTTGCCTAGACTGTCCATGACCAAGTGCCCTGTCACACTCCCTATGAGTTCCTTCAGTGTTCACGAAGGAAGGCAAACATGAAAACATACAAAGGCCCAGTTTGGGGAACAGATGAAGCTCTGAGTGAATATGTGCTGACAGTGTGAGCGGAAAACATTAACTAGGAAAATGCCAACTGCAAATAGCCCCAACTTCTCCTTTCTAGATATTTACAGCCTGATTTGCTCCCCTACAGAGATCCTCTCTACCAAGATTAGCTAAATCTACCTCCTTATTCAACTCTATATAATAACTCGCACCCTTATTAATACAATAGACCTGACTCTTCTATTTGGATGTACAATACAAACTTGCTGAATTTTCAGACTGTTGGTGTATTTGCATCAGAGTACACAACCCATCCAATCCCAGATTTTCTATGTACATGTCTGTGTGTCTGTCCTTTCTTCATGAATCTCAGTCCAGTCAGGTTAATCCCAAAGCTGTACAGGTCACACCAGCCCAGAGAAATAGTAAAGAAAATAATAAAAATATGTGGAAAGTTTCAGGGATCTAACTATGTTTTATGAAAAATATGAAAACTTGATAGCTTACGTTTGCATAAATATTTAAAACATCCAGCCATTAGCTCTAAGGTAATTAGTAAATTGTACTTTTTAAAATGCTGTTGGTTGACATTCTGAATACTTTAAAATGTTTATAAAAAGACCCTGGAAAAGTTGTAACAACTTGTTTATCCAGAATAGATTATAATTTAATGCAATTTTAACATTTGTTCTTCAAGTTGAAATATATTTTTTCCATTTAAATTATTCTTAAAGTATTTTGATCTATGAAACAGGACTTTAACAGGAACAGGAAATGACTGTATAAATTGATATAAAAATGTTTATTAGACAAAGGGAGTCTGTATCACATTCCTAACATAGTAGCTAGCATTGTATTAGAGCTGTCACATCTTTTTCATAGATGGGTAAATTGAGGTATAACCTCACTGTTGGGGTCTACTATGTTGAAGCAATTGTTCTCCATACATAAATGCAAAACCTCTAGATTTACCAACAGTTTTATGTTTAAATGAGAGGCACTGTGTGCAATTAATATTGGTCAATAAGACACCGGCATGACCTGTCTGATCTACACATGTCAATAACCTGATCACTTGTCAGAAAACACATGTTTCTTACACAAGACATGCTTCTCTCTATTTTTATGACTGTTGCCTTTAATTTTGGCAAAAAATGTAATCACAAGTCCCTACAGTAATCTCATTTTAATAAACTTAGAAACAAAAGAAATTCGCTAAATAAAAAGTAGCAAACTACAGATTTTCAAATAATGGTATTTCTTTTTTCAGGGACCAACTAATTTAGACTTATTTCAGAACATTTAAGTGAGAACTATAAAAAAGCTTCCTATGCCAGCAAATATGTTATTGTTGGAACCCTAGGAGCATCCTCCATATACAAAACCATTTGTCTTCTAGAATGAAAAAGCCTGAGCTGTCAAGTAGATGGCCTTACTGTGTGTGAGTGGCTGGGTTCCGTGCCATGCAACACTTGCCCATTTTTATTAAAAGATCTAATCACTGTAATCTCAGGTGGATCTTTTCATATTTTGGCTTTGGGGCATATTGTACTACACCATGTTGTCAAGCACTTATAACAGTGACTTCATTTGAGACAACCTTCTAAAAGTATTTAAGCCAAAATGTTTATGGACTTTTAATTTTTATATGAACACAAACAGGCCTTTGTGTGCATATCTGGCTGTACCTCTTAGAAGTGGTACTTGATCTTTCCAGTGTGAGAAGGAAACAGGGCCACTGGTTTTTCACAAAAGTCTCATATTTAACAGTCACTGCTTTATATTGGATTTTTGGTCGAATTAAAATGTCATTTCTCATTCCTTCTGCAAAGGGTTACATATGTTCATCTCAAAAGCATGCTGATAAAGAAAGAATGAAGAGAAAACATAAACAAGTTGAACTGTTTTCAAAATGTTCCTTTTGTACCTTTAAAATTCAGTGAATTTCTGAATTCTAAGTACAGTCTTTTTTTTCCCTCAAAGTAAAAAAACTAATGAATTGAATGTAATCCAGTCTATTTGATTCTGGAAGCAAGTAAGTTTAGAGATAGTATTCTCAGCATCTCTAAATATATGCAGACGAATAGCAGCAGGTTAAACATCTTGAATATTATTGAGAAAATAACATGCTAATTGCCATAAAACTTGTTTCCATTTAAGGTTTCAATTTCTCCAGCAATAGATATTTAAAAGCATGGTAATCAGAGGAAAGGAAAACTGGCTTAAAAGAAAGCAAAAAGAAAATTATACTATTTGCTTGTAAATCAGTAAACAAAAAGTAAGCTTAACATAATTTATAGGAATTCCAAGAGTGGAAACCCTTAACTATACCATAGCTAACTTTCTAACTCTACCATAATATTTTGTAACAGTACCATGATGGGTAAAGCTCAGCTGTGTGCAACGGCAATAAGTATGTAAGCTTATAATCTAGACTCTTTAGCATAGAACCTAAAACTTCATGACACCAGTATTCTGAGAACTACTTGAGAGACTGCATATTAAAGATCTTAGATTAAATAAACCAAAATTGGATATTATTTGTTGAAGATTTGAGAACCGGTAAATGTTGTGGTAGGAAAGGAGGAAAAGATGAAACCAGTCAGGTAGGATAAATACTTTTGAAAGTGAAGAATAATCTTCCAACACTATAAATACAACTTACACACCCATCATTCAAAGTACTAGCCAACACTTTTGTTTCAATCAAATAAAAAGAAAAACATTTTGAAAGATGTCTTTGTTAAATAACATACAGCATGCTCAATCTATGCTCCTGAGCTATGCAGCCTTACACAGAGTGTAACATGTTTAACCATATTTGTGACAGCAGAAGCTTGTATCTGACCACTTCTCGGTCAAGCTTCTCACTGCAGGCCTGGCATTTAATGTGTCAACCGATACAGACACTTTTAATGTAATGAGTCAGTTCCTACCTCTACATAGTCCTTGGCATGGCCCCAGTCTCGTTTGGCATCCAGATTTCCCAAACTGAAACATTCCAGTTGTCCAAGGTAAATCTTAGCTACTGACCGGCTAATTTTTCGAGTAACAAAATTAGCTCCTAAAAAGAGACAAAAGATGTATTATCAGTAGAGTACATTTGACATTTAAGAGTTTGGTGAACCAAACCCAGTATCAGCCTCTGGGCATTTCTTTCATCCCATCTCCCCCCTAAAATAATAATATAAAAAGAGGAACGATCATTAGCTGTCATTTAGAGAAGTTAAGAAGCTCTAATTCTAAGTGTCATATCAGCTCTACTTTCATAACAAACATTTCTTCTTTGGAGGATGTCTTAACATTCCTAATTTGCTGTTTCAATGTGTAACCCAGGCTTTAGGCCAAAGAAAAGCTATTGGAATGCCAGTTTTTAAACAGAAAATTCTAAAGGGTTGTATAAAGGGAAATGCCAGAATGGAAGACAGACATCTAAGACCACCCTGATTTTTTTTAAAACAAAAACATCATATATTTCTATTAATAAGGCTATTTTGGGGCCCATGGGAAGAGGGAGGAAAGTAACCATTCACAGGGTGAAACTAGTTACAGGAAACCCAACAGGAATTTCTTTGGACTGCCTTTCGCTTAACAAAATAAGTGGTGCTCACTCTCATCCAGAAACTTGCACATCCAATCAAATACAAAGTATAATATAGTTCCAAGTCAAGAGTTTCTTTGTACCAAACTTACTGTAAGATCATTTTCCAACTTCATGTAAATGCCATCTACAAAAACAGACTTCTGAATTTTGTACAAATATTTTGAAAAGTGTGGATAAATGTACCATAAATTAACAAATGCATTGTAATTTTTTAATTTTCTGTTTCTTAATGATAGCTTCCATCCACCTTTACTTTATTATTCTTCTTTACTTATTCTCAAGTAAAGAGATGAAGCCTCAAGTTAGATAGGGTGGTAGAGACCTGTAGTATCACCATGAGATACCAGGATACCCTGGCCTATATAGTAAGAGCCTATTCTCAAAACACACACGCACGCACACAAACACACACACACACACGTATAACATGTATGTTATAATTTAATATATATTTGCTAGAAATATATCTACATTTATATGGGGAAAGGGAAGAAGGGAGGAATGGAGGGAGGAAGAAGGGAGGGAAACATACATAGGAACAATTGAGATATTTCTAAATCGTTTTTTGTAAACTTTGGCAAGAATATAGACTACAAGTTCAAACACAAGCTCGAAACATTCACAGAGCTCTTGTATCATTTAAAGCACAATGAGAACAACAGGGGAAAGCAAGTGTTTAAAACCTTGAGCATCTCATGGGGGCCTTAAGAAACTGAAGGTGGGGGAAGTGATACACAGCTTAAGTCCCAGCTCTCAAGAAGTGGAGGCAAGACGATTAAAGCTTGAGTCACATTGAACACAACCTGATAACAACAAAAGAAATCATTCAGCTTTCCATGTCAACTGACAAAACACAAAGGACCATCAAGAAAGAACCTTTACAAATAAAACATTTAGTGGAATTTTTGTTTTGAAAATTTTTAATCTTCTATGGAATTACCATAAACTTAAGTTTGTAATTAAATACAGATTTATGTCTTAACTGTCAGGACTAAGCTATCATCTCAGAGCACACGAATATAACAAATTATTAGAGTAAGATCCCAATAAGAATTAGTGAGAGTTTTCTATTACTATTAAACTAATGTTCTTTGGAGTCCAAAGGAACATCTGACTACATCTGACTCACCTTCCACCCAGGATAACCTCAGCACTCACTCCACATCTGGAAATACATAGGTATAGCCTACTGTTAGGCAGTGCAGAGAGGAGAAGAGGGCCAGAGGACCATGCTGAAACATTTATCTTTAGATTTGCCTATTCTAGATACTTCATGGAATTCTTTTGTGATCATTTTTTAATTTAGAATAATAAGAAGGTTAAACATGTTGTACTTTGATTCAGACATCATTAAAATTGTATGGCTAATATTCCTCAGTAGGAAAACAACACATTTTATTTGCACAGCCATTAGCAGGTAAACACAGAATTTCTTTGTTAGGTTATTGCGAATAAAGCTTGATGGGAGATGTCATTCTGTATGTTTCTCATACTGGTTAATAAATAAAGCACTGTTGGCCAATAGGAAAGGAAGGTAGGAGGGACTAGGAGACAAGAAGGAAGTAGTACGGAGGAGTCAGCATGGAGAGCCTGGAGAGAACAGAACCGCCATTCCTCCACTCTCGGTAAGACCATGTGGAAATACATAGAAATGGGTTAATAATTAAGATAGAGCTAGCCGATAAGAAACTAGTAACTGGCCAACAGGATTATATCTAATACAGAGTCTCTGTGCATTATTTGGGGCTGGCGGCGTGGCGGCAGGACAATACCAGGCGGCAGGTGAAAAAACAGTACTCGTTAAAAGCTGATAGGAACATTTATGTACAAGTTTTTGCATGGACATATGTTTAATTTCTTTTAGGACTATACATAGGAGTGGAATTGGTAGGTCACAGAGTTGCTGTATGTTATAGCCTACAAAGAGCTGTGAACAATTTTTCAAAGGGGATGAGCCATTTTATATTTCCACAGCAGTGAAGCAGACCTCTGATTCCTCAGCAATCTCAACACTTGCCTTGGTGTGTGCTCTTTACTACAGTCACCTCAGGAGGTACTGGATTGGCTTTGACTTGTCTATCTCTAAAAAGTAACCAGCAATCATGTTTTTGTATTCTTATTGGGATGTTTTAACTGGTTTGCTAAAAACTCTTGATTGCAGAATTGTATGCACTCTGGATCCTAGTCTATGAAAACATTTTCTCACTGTGCACACTATCTTCACTCTTTCACTGATGCTCATTAAAGTATGAATTTTGTTGGTGTTGGGGTTTTTGTTTGTTTTTGTTTTGATGAAGTTCAATTTGCCTATTTTGGGTTGGTTATATGACACTGTGATGCTGCTCAAGGTTTTGTCCAATCTCAAGTTGTGGAGACATTTACATTTTCCTTTTATGCACTTGACCTGTTTGTTCCATATTTGGATTTGTACCATTACTAATTTTGTATCTGCTATAGTGAAAACACCCAGGTTTCATCATCTGCATGTAGATTGCCAGCTGTCCCACTGCCTACTAGGAAAGTAATTCTTCCTTCACTGAACTGGCATCTTTCTAAAACCAAACCACAAAGAAAAGCTTATTTCTGACCTTCGACACCACTCCTATGACAAATGTGTCTATTATTATATTAGCAATAACACCTTGTTGACTGCAGGTTCTTGGTAAGTTTTAAAAAGAGGACGTATGACTCGGTTCTTTTAAGGACTTCCTTGGCTATTTTCATCCCTTGTATTTTCATAAGATTTTTAGGATCAACTTCGAAGGTCTGCAAAAATGAATATTGTGGCTTTGATGGATTGCATTAAAACTTGTAACTCAATATGAAGAATACTTCCATTGCAACAACTGTTTGCTTTCCAGTTGATAAGTACAGGAGATACTTTTCTATTTAATTTAAGTCACTAAATTTCACAAGTAATTAAGTAATTAGTAATTTCCAGAGAGGAAGAGTAGTATTTCCTTTTAAAATATGTTTCTAAATACTTTTATTCATTGTGATGTATTTGTGAATGATTTTTATTTTCATGTTTAATTTTTAAAATTACTTTTGTAACCATATGCTTCACTAGTTAAGTCTTGAGAAGTTTACAATAATTTTTTAAAAAATCAATTCTTTTAATTGTTATTCTTTATCACATGGATACTAAGTCTTTAGAACAAAATTATATAAATTTACAAAATGAGATCTGAGACATTTGACAACTACTCCAAATGTATAGGTATCTGTAAAGATTAAAAAAAAAAAAAAAGCTCTATGAGGCTGAAGATCTGCCTATGGACAGGACTGATGAGGGGGGGATATTCTTCTGTGTGTGTGTGTGTGTGTGTGTGTGTGTGTGTGTGTGTGTGTATTTCTCTTATTGGTTGATGAATAAAACACTGTTTAGCCAATAGCCAGTAGAGGCAGGAAGATAGGTGGGGTGAGGAGATGAGGAGAATTCTGGGAAAGGTAGGCAGAAAGAGACCAAGGAGGGTCACCATGTAGAGACCGGGAGGATAGGATGCACCAGGCCTCCTCTGGTAAGATAAAGCCATGTAGGATAATAGACTTGGCTGGGTGTTGGTGTTGCACGCCTTTAATCCCAGCACTTGGAAGGCAGAGGCAGGAAGATCTCTGTGAGTTTGAGGCCAGCCTGGTCTACAGAGTGAGTGCTAGGACAGGCTCCAAAGCAATGCAAAGAAACCCTGTCTCAAAAAACCAAAAGAAAAAAATACACAGATTTAAAAAAATGGTTAATAATTAAGACAGAGCTAGCCAATAAGAAGTCCAAGCCATAGCCAACATTTTAATAATTAATATAGGGTCTGTGTGTTTATTTGGGGCAAGGTGGTGACAGGACCTGGTAGGACAAAAGAAATTACAGCAGCACAGGACAAGTGTCCAAGTGTTTGCCCACCCTGTCCCACCGAAGGAGAAGAAATATGATTAAAAAATACACTGTGTGCATGCATTAAATTCTTAAAGATAAATAAAAATATTAAATAAGAGAGGTAAAATTAATAGAGAGACAAGAGCTAAGTACCTGATTTTTCATTAAAACTGAATTTTGGCTTAGGATTAGAATAGAATTCCAGTAATTTATGAAATAGCCCTTCTTATGTCTTTTTTTTTTTTTTACTATATATTTATGTAGGGTGGCATTCCCAGTATTAACAAGTTTACTATTAAAACATTGATCAACTGTGAAAAACACTGAAGATGCTTTTCAATAAATATTTATAGATATCCTGCATTACTAGAATTTTAGCCAAGATTTCATCAGGAGAAATGAACATATATATTTATCTCATTAGTATGCAAGATTGGTATAATCTTTAGTAAACAGTATATTTATGTGTATAACACAGTACTGGTTTAAAATAACTGATTTATTAGTAGTAATGCTTGATATAATACATTTATTTCATATGTCTGTATGTGTGAATTTCTATAAAAATGTCTCTGGTGTAAGCTGGGTA